TTAATGTATCAAATCTGTTCATCAGATGATCTCTATATTCAGGTGGGATATATTCAAGGTTTTTGTGGACTTGTTTTCATGTTCTTCAGCTTCAGTTTGAATTTGCATAGCAGTAATTGATGGTCTGTTCCACATCTGCCCCTGGCCTTGTTTTCACTGATGATAGGGAGCTTTTCCATAGTCTCTTTATGCAGATGTAGTCAGTTTGATTTCTATGTATTCCATCTGGTGCGGTCCATGTGTGTAGTTGTCTCTCATGCTGTCTAAAAGAAGGTATTTGAAATGAACAAATCATTGGTTTTGCCAAATTCTATCATGTGTTCTCCAGCATCAAGTTTATCACCAAGGGCATATTTTCCAACTAGTGATCCTTCCTCTTTGTTCAATCGCCAGTAATGATCAATACATCTTGATTGCATGTTTGATCAATTTCAGATTGAAGAAGTTGGTTGAAATCTTCTGTTTCATCCTCACTGGCTTTAGTGGTCAGTGCGTAAATTTGAATAATAATGATATTAACTGGATTTCCCTGTAGGTGCATGGATATTATCCTATCACAGACAGCGTTGTACCTCATGACTGATCTGGATATGTTCTTTTTGAAGATGAATGCAACACCATTCCTCTTCAATTTGTCACTCTCTGCATAGTAAACAATGTGGTTGTCAGATTCAAAATGGCCCATACCAGTCCATTTCAGCTCAGTAACGCCTAAGATACCGATGTTCATGCATTCCATTTCATTTCTGACAACTTCCAATTTTCCCAGATTTATAATCCATACATTCCATATTCTGATTTTCAATGGATATTTACAGCTATTTCTGTTCATTTTGAGTTGTGCAAATGAAGGTCCCATGGGCTTTTCACCCCTGGGCTTTCCTCCATTCGCATCATCACGGTCAACTCTATTTTGAGGAGACAGCTCTTCCCCGGTCGCTATTTTTTGAGTGCCTTCCAAACTGAGGTGCTAATTTTCTAGCACTATATCTGACGGTGTGTCTCTGCTATTCATAAGGTTTTCAGCGACTAAATATTCAGAAGTAGTTCATCACTCCTTCTTCTTCTGGCTGACTGATTGGAAGAGATTTGTGCCCATTCGAAAGAGAGGTGACCCAATGGAATGTGGAAATCATCAGACAATCTTTGATATACCATGCGAGTAATGTTTTGCTAAAGGTAATACAGAAATGGCTACAATTATACATTGACAGAGAACTTCCAGAGGTTCAAGCAGGATTCAGAAGAGGCCATGGAATGAGGGATATCATTGCTGACGTCCAATGGATCTTGGCTGAAAGCAGAGAATATTGATAAACAAAGGCTTTTGATTGTGTAGATCATGACAAGCTATGGACAACATTGAGAAGTATGAGTATTCTGGAACACTTAATTGTGCTCCTGAGGAATCTGTACATGGACCAAGAAGCAGTTATTCGAACAGAACATGGGAAAACTGAATGGTTTAAAATTGAAAAAGGTGTGCAACAAGGTTGTATTCTTTCACCATACTTATTTAACCTGTATATTGAGCAAATAATTCAAGAAGCTAGTTTCTATGAAGAAAAATGTAGCATTAGGATTGGAGGAAGACTAATTAACAACCTGCAATATACAGATGGTACAACCTTGCTTGCTGAAAGTGAAGAGGACCTAAAACATTTACTGATGAAGATCAAAGAGCATAACCTTCAGTATGGATTACATCTCAATGTAAAGAAAACAAAAATCCTCACCATTGGACCAATAAACAACATTCTTTTAAACGGAGAAAAGATTGAAGTTGTCAAGGACTTCATTCTTCTTGGATCAGCTATCAACACTCACGGAAGCAGCAGTCAAGAAATCAAATGACATATTGCATTGGGCAAATCTGCTGCACAAGATCTTTTTAAAGTGTTGAAGTGCAAGGATAGCAGCTTGAGGACTAAGGTGCACTTGACCCAAGCCATGGTATTTTCAATAACCTCATATGCATGTGAAAGCTGGACAGTGAATAAGACCATAGAAAAATTGATGCTTTTGAGTTTTGGTGTTGGAGGACAATATTAAAAGTTCCATGGGCTGCCCAAACAACCAATAGATCCATTTTGGAAGAAGTGCAGCCAGAGTGCTCCTTAGAGGCCAAGTGGCCAAACTTTGTCTTTCATACTTTAGACATGTTGTCAGGAGGGACCAGTCATTTGAGAAGGATGTTTGGTAAGGTGGAGAGTCAAAGAGAAAGAGGAAGACCCCCAGCAAGATAGATTGGCCAAGTGACAATATCAATGGACTCAAGTGTGGCAGCAGTATTGAGGTTGGCCCAGGATTGGTCACTATGGGTCATTATCAATTCAATGGCACCTAACAACAACAACAAATATTATAAAAGAATGAATCCTGGTGTGGCACTGTAGGTTAAGCACTAGTTGGCCAACCACAAGGTTTGTAGTTCAAACCCACCAGCTGCTCCTAGGAAACCTTATTTAGAGTCAGTATAAATCTGAACCAAATCGATGGTACTTAACAACAATAATCACTGTGATACAAAGACACCTTTTCTGTAGAGGCAAGGTGATTCTTAATCTCAGCCTATGAATCCCATTAATCTCCTCTTAAGTGCCATGGGTTGCCAAAAGAACCAACAGATCTGTGTTGGAAAAAGTGCAACAAGAGTGCTCCTTGGAGGCCAGGATGGTCAAACTTTGTCTTTCATACTTCAGACATATTATCAGGAAGGACCAATTGCTGGAAAAGGATATCATGTTTGGTATGGTGGAAGGTCAGAGAAAAAGAGGAAGACCCCCTGCGAGATGAATTGGCAAAGTGGCAGCATCAATGGACTCAAGAGTAGCAACAATAGTGAGGTTGGCCCAGGGCCGGGCAGTGTTTCATTCTGTTGTGCTGTGAGTTGGTACTGACTCGATGGCACCTAACAACAACAAATGATGGAGGTAGAATGCCTGGAGAAGAAAACAGTGAAATATGATGGCCATAGAAAGAGAGTGGAGTAGCTACAAAATCATGGAAACCTGACACCTCCAACCTTTCTTGAGTGCGGTCCTTGCATTTCCTCCTTTAGGGTTTGGTGTCTTAGACATCCCTTTCCCAGAGATTAGCCTAAGGTTCACATCATAAAATTTCCGTAGAGTAGAACTGTCTCATAGGGTTTCCCAGGTTACAAATCTTTTCAGAAATAGAGTGTCTTTTCTTTCTCTCAGGAAGTAACTGGTGGGTTTGAGAGACTGCCTTTTGTTTAACAACTGATAGCTTAAGCATTGCACCACCACTTTGAGTTGAATTGAGTCATAGCCACTGATCTGCACAAGCATAGAGGTGAATGCTCTAAGGCAATGTTATTTTAGCTTTGCATTGATGAAATTTACTTTTCCACAATTGATGTCTTAGGAGAGAAGCACAATATTGCTGTTCTGCCAAAAGCAGAGGTGTGTGGTGTGGAGCATGCCTTTGCTCCCTTCCACCTACCAGATATGTTTCTGCTCGTTCATAGGGGCATAGGCCCTAACCTCTAAGCTGGACTGTAGTTGCATGGTTTTCTGGGACACAGTCTTCTTCTATCTGGTGAAATTAGTAGCCTTTTCAGTTTTCTAATGAATTAAATACATTTTAAATGCAAAATTTAAAATTTCAGAGAAAATTTAACTTCTTTGTTTACTTCAGCATCTTGTTGGCTTCTTAATAACCCCATTCTAAGCCTCATCTCAAGATTTTTTGTAGTCACCCAGAATAATTCATTGGGTATAAAACTGCATTATTCACCTTATCATATTTTATTTAATTTCATTATATGCTGCTACTCCAAGACCAGACTTAAATATTCAAATGATATACTTACTGCTACTTGGTGGCAAAAATAGTCCATTGATATTTCGAGGTTTGCTGTGATAAAAGATACAACTGATCTTCACACAACCAAGTGGTTGAGTTTCCCAGAAACAAGAAATGCTGCAGTTTTGCTAGACAGATAGGATGGGAGAATTGTAATAATTAGATTGACAATAAATGCGGTGTGCTATAGCAAGTTTAACTATAGATTTAAGATCATGGGTATTTTGCAGATTTTTATGTTTGGTTGCTTTTTATGTGTGTCCTTTCTTTTAAAGATCCAATGGACGCTCCTAGAATGTGTGCCTCCACTCTTCTAAGAATTTAAGTTCAGCAAAATGTTAAATATAAGAAATTAAAGTTTTGCCATTAGTAGTGGAATAATTATTTCTTTATTGTATTGTGGAAATATGTTGTTTTTATGTGCCATGGAGTTGGTTCTGGCTCATAGGGACCTTGTACAGGGTGTCCGAGGCTGTAAATCTTTACGGGAGCAGAAAGCCTATCTTTCTCCCGTGGAACAGCTGGTAGTTCTGAACTGCTGAGCTTGCACTGAGCAGCCCAATTCATAACCACTATCCTATAGTTCAGTATTATTGGATGGCAACACATTTAACAAAATGTTAACACATTTGAGTAATTCTACCTGCATTTCCATGTGTCTAAATCTGCAAAGTGGATCTAAACATTTTCTCTCTCTCCATAATGAGCACACAGTGTCACTGCCAAGGGCCTCTTCACAGTGTCGAAATCGGCACTGGGAACCCTAAATGAACAAAAGTAATCAGTGCAGAAAACCAACAGTATATTAATGCTAAAGCTACTAATTAGTTAAAGAAAATATAGACAGATCCAATTAGGGTCAGACAAATACATTTTACCTATGTAAAAGTATACATCTAAATGATAGCAAATTCATCTTAGTGAAAGACTGACAAAATAATCTAATGATTAAAGAATACAATCTGCCAGAAATCACTGATAAAATAATACATTTAAGACCTTATATGACTCACTAAGGCTAGAGCCATGAGAGGAGAGATGCCCATAAAACCACAGCTGGAAAAATTGCAAGTCATCTTTTGGGAAAACATATAATAAAAAACATTCTTCTGTCTTTTGACATATGCTCCACCCTCATTCCTTATCTTTAACCCTGCTTTCACTCCTGTCTTCACTCCTTTCCCTCTTTAAGTGGATCTGGGGATTTCAAAGAAAAAAAGAGTTGGCAGGGTTTCTGAAGTCAGATAAACCAGTATTCAAAATCTCTGGCTCCACTACTTGCCCACAGTTACAAAATAACACATTATTCAACCTTTTTGTGTCATTTTCCCCATCTGTAAAGAAGGAATAAAATATTTGCTTTACAGGATCATTGAATTAACTGCGAGTTAAGAAATTGCGGTTCTTATTACTATTCTTATGAGGTGCTGTAAGATAAGCACTGGACTGCTAAACACATCAACCACTACTCAGAAATCTTTCATATTCAGAGTAACTATGAGTTGGAGCTAATGTGACATCTCTTAACAACAACATTCATTCATTCAGCTATTTATTGAGAACCTGCTCATGTTAGTGATTGTGATAAGGACCAGAGGGAGATACAGCAGTGTGAATAGACTAAACTCTCTGTCCACGTAGAACATAACTTCCATTATTATTTAACCCCATCAGGATTTAGACTGCTAACCATGAGGTCAGCAGTTCAAACCCACCTGCTACTCCTCGGAACCCCTATACAGGGTCTCTATGAGTTGGGCCTGACTTGATAGCACTTAACAAGAACAATAATCAGAGTTTAGTCTTAAAGTAGCAGATAACAAAAGTGGATCTAATTTCTATGGTCAAAGAGGTTGGCTTCCTACAGGTTTCTTAGAAAAGATGAAACACTTTAAATCAGACATATAGTCTTTTTTGGGGGGCTCTTTCTAACATTAAACAGAACGCTGCAGTCATAGATAGAGTCACTATATTTATTTGGTTTCACCAAACCTAATTCCTTAGATTATATTAATACTTTTATTCCTATTTAACTTTATAAACTTTAATTAATATTCATAACTTGGCCGGTTTATGCTATTTACTCCCCCCCCACCTTTGATATTTAAATATATGCATTTCTTAGATTTTTGACAGGAAAAAGTCAGTATTTACACTAATGAATTTCAAATAGGGAATCAATTTGATTCATTAAACTAAATTTGACTGTGATAGGAATTCAGCAATTAGAATTTATATGGTTGAAATCACATTAACCAAATAAAGTAGGATGTATTGTTTCAATATTAGGGATCTTTTGATCTTTTGTCTCAAAGAGCCATAATAGAGACAAAAATGCCACACTTAAAAAAAAAGGCATAGGCATCTAACTGGCATAAAGAAAGGCAGTTTTAAATAAATCACAAGTTTACATTATCCCAGATTTCCCTTAGAGAAATTTAATATATCAAAAAATACATGATAAGCTTTTATTTCAAATTATAAGTATATAAAATATTTTGTAGGAAATTAGTTCATTTTCATTCAGCAATGCAATTACTGCTATTCACTCTTCATTCTACTAAGTAGCTTAAGCATGTGAAGTACTGTAAACTGTACAATATTTACCTTCATGCATGTGGAATTAACAAAGAAATAGCAGTCATTCCCAACTTCTGCCATTTTCAAACTCTCTTGATGCTAATCCAGTGTTTATATATGTAAATATATACAATAGTTGCAGGAATGCAAATGTAAGAACTATCAGTGTGTAAGGGGGGAAAAGGTTTCTTTTCCACAGTCTTTCAGGCTATCACTAATAATCCTTTAAAACTGACCTCCTGCTGACAGTATAGTATGCATTAGATAATTCTTAAAGAAATGTAAATTAGAAGATACCTTCTCTAGCTTTGCAGAAATGTTGAAAGTGGTTGCTAGTCAGCACACAAACTCAGACTTCCAGAATTTTCCACATTGTTACCTAATCTATTGTTTGCTCATCATAAATGACCTCACATGCAACTGTAGGCTAGTTTTAGCTTAGTGTACGGTATTTTCCTTACTCTCAATTCTAGTATATTAACCATAAAGGGCCCATAAAAATAAAACAGCATATTTTGTATTCCAATCTTCTGAATGAATATGGAATATAAACTGGTTAACAAATATTCATAAGTAAATAGCTATTTTCTAAACTCATTTCTATATATATAGCTTGAAAACAAAACTATCAAACATAAAATGAATATATGTAACCCAGATTATAAAATAATAAATAATTTAAACATGTACTCACTGCTAACCACAGATTTTTGGGAAAATCATATACTAATTGATGTTAAATGCCATTGAGTCGGAACTGACTTGTACCTGAAAATAAATTTGACTACTTAAGTATCATTTTTCACTCATCAAAAAAGAAGAAAGCTTCTTCCTTTTGTCATAAAGTTTCCAGGTTGTCTGCAAATTCTGAGAATTTGTTGAAAACAAAGTGAAGCCCTGTGATCTCCAGAATGAGACACTTCAATCAGCATTTATGGAAGTCTTTGTCACTTTACTAATTATCTCTACTAAAATAAATGTGTTGTTGTTAGGTGCCATCGAGTACATTCCAACTTATAACAACCCTATGCACAACAGGTTGAAACACTGTCTGGTCCTGAAAAATTTCATTCATAGAAGCTGACGTTAAAAATGCCACAGAGTTGACAGACATTTGATTAAAAGGTAAATATAAAAAATCTACAAAAGGAGCTATATTTTAGAAAGGAGTTGGGCTGTAACTCTAAGTAAGAAAAATAGAAGAACTGGGTGATATTGGAATTAAATAAAGAATAGAAAATGGAGAACTGGTTAAATTCTTGAAAATATTAGAAATGATATATAGAATATACTGAACAAAAACAAAACACGACTTTTGTTTTTATGGTATGTTCTTTGAACAACAAAGGAACTATGAAGTATATAGGCCACTGGGGAAACCACCCTATGGAATATTTTCAAATGGTCTTAAATTTTGAATAAGTTACCTGATCACCTGTGAACTGACAGCTGCATTGGAGTGTTTTAAAAAAACACTGCTATCAAACAATATTGCTGTATAATTACGTGTAACATCATGATTAAAGCAGTTGTAAGAATCCCTTGTATACATAGGGGAAAGGCTGAATAAACATTTTTACCTCATGTTACATGTAAACAACTATGTTCCACTAGAAACAGCAAAAGAAGACTAACCCTAAGTGGAGACTAGTGTTAGCATTGCACAGAGGCATAAATAGATCTGAATATTCTGGTAGTCCTTAGAATACCTGGAGTTCTAATTTCTTCTTTTTTTCATTTCTTTTGTTTCCTTCTTTCTTTCCTTTCCCCCACCTTCTTTTCCTTATTTCTTCTCTCTTCTCTCCTTTTCTGTTGTAAAATTCAATCTAGTATTTCAGGAAAAGCTATGTTCCCGTCCATAAGAATTTTTACTTCCTTTAATGAAGAGTGATGGGAAATTTGCCTCCATAGCTGGGATAGATTGGCAAATTTTGTAAGCTCATTGTGTTTTCCAAAGTAGACTTTTAAGGGCATGCCAGAACACTGGTAATTTAAAGAACATCTTTCTTCCAGTTTGTAACTTAACAGTGGCACTTTACATACCAGAAGCCGGTAGCTCCTTCCAGTTGGCTCTTCAGGTTTAAGCGAATCAGGCAGTAGTAGTTAGAGTAGGGGTACAGTTTATAAGTGTGAATTAGTCCTGTGGATCTCTTCTTACTTGGACCCCTCTGTTTCTGTCACAGGCCTTGCTTCTGGTGTTGATGACACTTGAGCAAGTTTGTTGCTTTGCTGCTACTATTTAAAGAGCAAGTGGAAAGTTTTGGAAGATAAACCTTTCTCAGAAATGATAGAATGCTGGACCTAGAAGATTCTGTGACAGTTTGGGAAATAATAATTGATACTTGTAGGAGTTACTTAAATGTTGGCTCCTTGAATGAGGCCCAATCAAACCATTTTTTCAGGATTCCTCTTCCAAAGAAGTCACTGGTAGTTGACTATAAAATGGTTAGAAGTTTCTGGTCCCAGTATCTCACAGCCGGCATCAGATTTTTTAAAAAACTTTTATTATTTTGCCTTTGTTGGTTTGTATTGTTTTCCTATGGGAAAGTTAAAGACAGTCGATAAGAAAGCAAATACTATGAAATGGCAAATCCCTTCCTCCCTCCTTCCACACTGAATGAAGAACAGTAAATTTTTAAGGAATTATTCTTTGGAAACCCTCTTCTTTTCATCTACCTTCAGGGAGTTTTGGTGTGGCACTGTAGGACAAAGTACTGGACCACAATGTCACTTTGAACCACAAGGTCAGCTGCTCTTTGGAAAACCCTATACAGGGTCGCTATGGGTCGGAACCGACTCCACTGCCCTTAACAACAACAAGATTTGGATTCCTGGTGTGGTGCGGTAGCATAAACACTCTACCAGCAAGGTCGATTTGAACTGCAAAGTAGGTTCAAACTCGCCAGCAATTCCTTGGAAATCCTATACAGGGTGCTATGAGTCGAAAGGACTCGACAGCACTTAACAAGGTGTGATTTAATTTGTGAATTTTCGCAAGGGCTAACGAAATCAGTAAGATGATATACAGCTGGATACTTGCAAATACGAAAATTACCGAAACGAGACCACCCCCATGTTTAATAAAATAAAATCTTCCTTACTTTAGGATGAGAGCTACAAGCTGCAACGAGTTAAAAACGCTACCCTTATTATTCAATATTTATTCGTTTTATCACTTAACTCTCCAACATTCTTTTGAGCAGTCAAAGCCAAATAAAACTATTATTTAACGCTGTAGTTTATTGACTAAAACGACTCCTGCCACGTATTCTGTTGCTCACATTTTAAATAAATGGGTTTAATAAAAGGTTCAGATTGAGATCTGGTTGTTGGTATTCCTGTGGCTTTGGATTCGATTACAGCTAAACTTATGCCTACTTTGGAAAGAGCTTTAGAACTGATACCAGGAAAGAGCAAGAACTGATGTAATTTTTATAGTAGTATGGAGAGTAGTCCAAATGTTAACTTTTTAAAATTTGGTTTTGGTCACATGTTTTAGATACAGCGTTTTCTCACAGTCTTCCGGGGACTCACTCACTCTGCTTTCTGCTGGGGTTATTTCTAAACTTCTTGTGTTTCCCCAGGAATTCATTAAAGAGAACAGAAAAGTAAATTTCCTTAAAATGATGTTAAATCGTCATCTGAAATAATTTATCAATTATAACTTGACATACTTTAATTTTCAAAAATATCGTCGGTTACAAAGCATGGCTATGTACACACACCCCAGAAACGGATCTCTATTTTTCCTTGGTTATCAGAACCCAGGGACGCACGCGGGTTTGCTCTCGGGGGTCGCCTCGATCCCCAGCACTACAACTCCCAGAAGGGCTTGCGTCCGAACGGCCCCTTCCGGGCATGCGTTCCCGCCTCTCGGTTTAGGTTAGGCGACGCGGGAAGTTGACGCCACATTAGACGCGGTTCGTGAGTGTTAGGCACGCTGTGGATGACTGTATTGGTGTTTCTCCCGGCTGGGAAGCGCTGTCTTTACTCGCTGTGTCTATCGGGGTAACCATGAGGCGCCTGGGTTCAGTACAGCGGAAAATGCCGTGTGTATTTGTGACGGAGGTGAAAGAGGAGCCCTCCGCCAAAAGAGAACATCAGGTACCGAGGAGTGCTGGTCCGGGCGGGGCGCAGCGCGTGGGCTCCTCCAGCAGCGCTGACTCGGTTTGAACCCAGCGACTCTGCTCCCCGGCGTGCGGAGCCACCCTGCCGGCCGGGGGCGTTTCGCTGGGGAGATCTGGAATCAGTTTTTGTACCATTTTATTTATAATGGAGGGAAGCTGTGAAAGAACGTTTCTGATTCAAACTTGACCTCTCATGGAAATTGAAAACCCCAATACTAAATAGTGTTTCTTTCCCGGATCTTGCCATGGTAGCACCATTTGGAAAAACCCCTTAAATACTCAAATAGAAATCACTGCCGTCCGAGCCTTAGGCCTTTTCAAGATGCTGCTGAAACTTTGTAGATGTTATAAGACTTGCTTTACCTGCTCTAAATGGGGACTCAGTGCCTAATTTGTTAAGTGCCAACAAGTCAGTTCTGATTCAGCGACCCTGTATAGAGTTTGTGGTGGGTTTAGTAGTCTAGTGCTTAGCGTAGTGGTTACGAATCGGGCTGCGAACCTCAAGGTCGGCAGTTCGAAACTACCAGCTGTTCCGCGGGAAAAAGATGAGGCTTTCTGCTCCCGTAAAAATTTAAGCCTCGGAAACCCTTGTTGCTATGGGTCGGAAACAACTAAACGGCACTTAACAACAACACCAGGACTCCGCAGTGGCGTAATTAGGGTGCCATTAAAGGTTAGAACCTGTGTGCTGTTCACCGGTAGTTACTTACTTGATCTTGGTGTTTCCGTTCCAAGGTTTTTGATTCAGCACTGTGTTTTACACAACGTTGTTAAGTACCACCAAGTTGGTTCCAACTTCTAGCGACCCTGTCCAGGGTTTTCGAGGAGTGGCTGGTGGGTTTGAACCGCTGACTTTGCAGTTCAAACTGCGGTCCACGTAGTAGCCATAACAATGAAGTTGAATGTGATGGATCACTGGGCAGCATTTCGCTCTGCAGTACATAAAGTCGCTGTGAATCAGCGTCAACATGATGGCAGCTAACACCAAAAACAATAGTAAGAGTATGGTGCTTACATCACAGATACCAGGGTTTAAACATTTGCTTCAGTATTTATACCTATCATCTTGGGAAAGGCATTTTTATTTTCTGAGCTTCTGTTTCATTCATTGTAAAATTAATATATACCATTTAACTCATATCATTTTAGGGAATGGATGCATAATGTATAAACATATTCAGCATCTTACCCGATATGTGCTCAATAAAAGCTAACCAATAAATAAAAAAAAAAAAAACTACCAAAACAACAAAAAAACACTGCAGTCCAGTGCATTATTCTGCAGCGCCGCACCAGGACTCCTTTACATAATTTAGGCCCTCAGTAAATACTGGTTAATAAATAGTATCCAAAGTCAAGATAATTCTTTGTTGTTGTTGTCAGGTGCCATCGAGTCGGAACCGACTCATAGCGACCCCATGCACAGCAGAACGAAACAATGCTCGATCCTGGGCCAACC